ATTGATAAAGAAAACAAGCTGCGAAGAAATCATAGAGAGTCCGACACACACAATCGCCTGGATGATGGGGGTTCTTCAAAATATACACTGTATGTTCTTATGTATAGTCTTCTTGGCTATTATACTAAATGATGGCCAGAACTCGATTCTAACTAGGTCAGCGCATGTGTCAAGACCCCTGCAGCCGAGGCGTGGATCCAAGATTTCACAGAAAAACATCAAATTTAAAACATTCACATAAGTATTCGCATTACTAACTAATAGGAATTGATGGTGAAAACTTGTTTGGTAGATTAGTCATTCTATAACGCGGTGTCGTTTTTGTTTTTTAAAAATAATACAAGTCTGATTAATCAAATGTATAATTTCAGAAATTAAAAACACAAGTTATAAGCGGATATCTATTATATAAAAAAAAACTACAGACATTGAATGAAAGATCACAAAGAATGATTATGAGTTTTTTCTTGCATGTCTAATTTATTCTTTTTAAGGAGGCTTATAATTAAAAAACTTGCAATCATTTTCTTTATGCAGTTTTAATTGCATTAATGGCAAAAATGTCTTCAATTCATCCCTCCTATATTATTGAAAGGAAGCCAAACTTAATTATACTACAGAATTGTTAATATGTTTAGTATGCAGATAAAGTTTACTAAATCACAAGATATATACGCACTGCACGTGAATTTGAATGGTCACTAATGGCACAATACTATATATTCCTAAAATAGCCATAAGTTCGGGGTTCGCAAATCAGGACTTTTTTCATATAATTTGTAAATGCCTGATTCAGCTGATAGCATTTAAATGTTATTACTTACTTATGCTAAAAGCATGTGGGCGTTGGGTAGGGGCCCAAAGCCACACAAAAAATGATTTAATTTTAAAATCTCGTGTATATTTTGGACGAAAAAAAAACGGTGAGCCTGGGCACCCCCGAAATCCGCCAGTGCTGTTAAAAGTTGATTTTGAATATTTAATTTTTTGATGTTTACGGGAAATCTTTTGGAAGGGTTGGAATTATTTAAGTTAGCGCTGTTGTCTGCTGTCGGAGTATAATAATACGTAATATCGCGATTACTTCGCAGTTATCTAACTTACTACCGCTCTTTTGCGGGGGAGTCGAGAAAGATCAAATCTCACGAGATTACAGGGGCACATGGCTTTGTTGACAGTAGTGAAAATCGAATGATTTGAAAAATTTTATACCCAAAGTACAATGTATTGCCAAGAATTTAATTCCAAATAGTAGATTGTCAAATAAGGAATGTTTAGATTATTTTATCAGCTTTAAAATGCGACGATTTTCAATGAAAATTTAATTAGAAGAGCCAGCTTGGTTAACAAGAGGCCCATGGGCCTTATAGGTCACCTGAGCATTATGCAACAACTTTCCAGTGACTGAATTTGATTCATGTTTTAAGCCAGATGCTATGGCATTCACAATTTTTGAAAGAGGCACCATTGATCATTATAACAATATGCTTAGCAGTTGCTTAGTTTGGTTAATGAAAACCCAAAGGCAGGGTAGGGGAGCAAAAAATTCATGTCAACTAATCAGTAGTGCCCATTTCACACATGAACTCCTCACCCTTAGGCCTAGATCCAAACATTGCACAATTGCATCCTTGCTTTTCAAAAATATTTGATTAATACCAAGGAACAGATTTCAAACAATTCATTCATTTTTAGTATATAAGTAACCCCCCCCCCCCCGTCTATGGTACCCCAGACCCAGGGGCCTTGAAATTCACAATTCTGGAAGAATAGGACCCTTGCTCATCATAACTATATAGGTATGTTCACCTGCTTAATACCTAGGAGCAGAAAGGAAAATTTTCAAACAATTCATGTATTTTCACTATAATATCAATGGAGCCCCGCCTTAACAACAGAAACCCAACCCTGGGGCCATAAAATTTACAATTTTGGAAGAGGCATTCTTGTTCATCATTACTATGGTATATACTTAGTTAGTTTATTTAATACCTAGGAGCAGAGAAAAAAATCAAAGAATCCATGTATTTTCACTATATAATCAATAGAGCCCCGCCCTAACACCAAAACCCCTGACCCTGGGGCCATAAAATTCACAATTTTGATAGAGGCACTCTTGCTCATCATAACTATGCACTAAGTTTATTCATTTAATACCTAGGAGCAGAGAAGAAGATTTTTAAAGAATTCATGTATTTTCACTATATAACCAATAGAGCCCCGCCCTAACACCAGAACCCCTGACCCTGGGGCCATAAAATTCACAATTTTGGTAGAGGCACTCTTGCTCATCATAACTTTGCACTTAGTTAGTTTATTTAATACCTAGGAGCAGAGAAGAAGATTTTCAAAGAATGCATGTATTTTCTCTATATAATCTTTAACCCCCCCCCCCCCCCCCCCAACACCAGAACCCCTGACCCTAGGGCCATAAAATTCACAATTTTGGTAGAGGCACCCTTGCTCATCATAACTATGCACTTAGTTTATTAATTTAATACCTAGAAGCAGAGAAGAAGATTTTCAAAGAATGCATGTATTTTCACTATATAATCTATAGAGCCCCACCCTAACACCAGAATCCCTGACCCTGGGGCCATAAAATTCACAATTTTGATAGAGGCACTCTTGCTCATCATACCTATGCACTTAGTTTATTCATTTAATACCTAGGAGCAGAGAAGAAGATTTTTAAAGAATTCATGTATTTTCACTATATAACCAATAGAGCCCCGCCCTAACACCAGAACCCCTGACCCTGGGGCCATAAAATTCACAATTTTGGTAGAGGCACTCTTGCTCATCCTAACTTTGCACTTAGTTAGTTTATTTAATACCTAGGAGCAGAGAAGAAGATTTTCAAAGAATGCATGTATTTTCTCTATATAATCTATAACCCCCCCCCCCTAACACCAGAACCCCTGACCTTGGGGCCATAAAATTCACAATTTTGGTAGAGGCACCCTTGCTCATCATAACTATGCACTTAGTTTATTCATTTAATACCTAGGAGCAGAGAAGAAGATTTTCAAAGAATTCATGTATTTTCACTATATAATCTATAGAGCCCCACCCTAACACCAGAATCCCTGACCCTGGGGCCATAAAATTCACAATTTTGGTAGAGGCACTCTTGCTCATCATAACTATGCACTTAGTTGGTTTGTCTAATACCCAGAAGCAGAGAAGAAGATTTTCAATGAAATAATGCATTTTCACTATATACTTATTTAGCCCCGCCCTAGCACTAGAACCCTTGACCCCAGGGCCATGAATTTCACAATTTTGGTAAAGGACTCAATGCTGATTACAATCATGCAAACAGTTTGACTGCTTGATGTCCAGGAGTAAAGAAGAAGATTTTCAAAGACTGCACTAATTTTTGTGGTTTTGGCCCCACCCCTCAGGCCCCAGGGGGGCAGGGATCATGAAATTCACAATTTTTGTTCCCCTTCACCCATAGATGCTTTGTGCCAAATTTGGTTGAAATTGGTTCAGTGGTTGCAGAGAAGAAGCTGAAAATGTTCAAATGTTAACGCACAACGCACAACGCACGACGCACGACGCACGACGACGGACGAAAACAGATGGCAATAGGTCACCTGAGTTTACTCAGGTGACCTAAAAATATCTTTAAAAATGTAACATTTTAGGATCAGATCCTCTAAAAAATTAATTAGACTGGTTCGGCGATTGTTATGCAAGGTATTCCACCAGGATTTTTTGCTTATCTGTCCTTATAAATTCTACAACGATCGATCTTGCATTGTATTCAATAGCACAGTTGTCCCCAGCCAACAGACTTTTACTACCTCCATCGCGAAAGAGTTCCGCTAAGTTAAGTAATCGCGATATCAAGTATTAAGAAGCTGTGAAATACATACATGTATGTAAGGTCAAAATGAAGGCTAAGATTTTACCCAACTAATTCTTGTGATTTTTTTTTACTTACAAATTTTACAAATACTGCTTAGTGGGACATTAACATTTTTTTTACATTAAAATAATATTACTCTTATGATTATTCAAGGGAAATGGAAATGCGAAGTAAAATTCAAACAATTATAGCATGGCTTACGGGGCAAAATTGGACCAAAAAACTCTTCAACTTGATAAATTTATAAAGGGATAATGGACACTTTTGTCATTAAGAGTTATCTCTTTTATGGATTAAGTTTACTTTGTGAAAGTGCTAGGAAAAATGAAACGTGTCCCAAACTTTGTAGATTTGATAATTTCCAGATAAAGGAGATTTTTAAACATTATTTTAGTATATTTCATGCAATGTAAAATGCTAAAATAGCAACAGATGAATCATGATATTATTTAGACAATTTTAGAAAATCAGATCTACAAATCTGTGTACCAGCCCTTTTAACTTTGTACTGCTGTAATTGTTCAATGCCAACGCCTCCCTTATCCATACTTTTTGTTCAAGTATAGTCATGTACTACATGTACTAACAAAATGAATTTATTTTTCGAAAAAATTTTAAAAGGTTAAAATATTTCCTTCTCATCCACAACATAGGATTTTGGAGTTTGATCACTACCCTTTTTCCTATTCTAAAATGTTCAGGTAAGCTGCCACTCCCCTTCCTTAGAAGAATAGAAAAAGCTGTAATAGCTGAGAAAAAAGTTACACTCCACTGTTTATTCTGTGACTTTAATGAAGCCAAAGAGATGACATTTCAGGCTTTCTGGAAAGCCAAACTTGTTATTTAATTAAAATTATTCGGAACTGCTTGAAATCCGGAACTGCTTAAAGCACTGTACATGAATAAGGTTAACGAGTCCAAACTTTGTCCGCAAAAAATACACAATTTTATCATGTGGTGACACTGTAGTATAGCTCCCAGATCGTCCATCCGAATTTTTTCAGACCAAGCGCTATCACAGAGTTCACAATCCTTGCATCAATTTGAACCTTTACAAAAAACTTGGCATCAGGTCATCAGAAATGCTTTCTGGTAGGCCTACTTAGAAAATACGTAATCTTACCTTTCAAATTCGAAGTGTAGGAGATTAGTTTTTGTAGTAAAGGGTCATCACTTCCATCCTGTTTCATCATATATTGTAATAGCATATGATGTCCCTTGCCAAAAATCTCGGTGAAGACGTACACCTTCTTAGACATCTTAGCAGCACGCACGCATGCCTTGGAAAAGCATATTGCTTCTTCGACACCTGCATCGCAAAGTTTCAGCTTTAATGACGACAAACTGAACAATTCTGAACATTCTAGTCTTCCCAGCGGTGCACTTAGACACGACATTGTTGAGGAAAATTTTAATGCGCAGTTGCGATTGTAAGTTGAAGTTGACTAATTGGGGTGCGTCGATTTACCCAAATGGACCCAAATGGAACCGAAATGGACCCAAATGGAACCCAAATGGACCCAAATGGAAACTCAAATGGACCCAAATGGAATATAAAACATATATATTATATCGTATTCTCAAGTTTTTACTTATTAAAATATAGAAAATAATGAAATTAAAACAAAAAGAGAATATTTTAATATCATTATTTTCTTCAATTGTATTTTTGAAAATGCGATTTAATTCTATTTGTAATAACTATTGAACATACTTGAATACAAAACTGAAGTATTTGATATTTTTTATGGCCGTAGGAACGGATGGGGGGGAGGGGAGGGGGGAGGCCATGCCAACCCATACACCCCCCCCCCGCCCCTACCCCCAAATAATTTTGCCGGTATATAGAATACTATCAAAACTTCACGCTTCAAAATACAATATTAGAGATTAATAATTTAAAAAAATCCATTTGTAACTGTAAGTTCATTATTTTCATCATTTCAAATAAGTATTAAAATACGATAACACATGTTTAATATTCCATTTGATTTCCATTTGGGTCCATTTGGGTCCATTTGTGTTTCCATTTTGGTCCATTTGTTTCCATTTGGGTCCATTTGGGTAAATTGACGCGCCGGACTAATTGCGCAAGCGTATTGGGGTGCGTCGATTTACCCAAATGGACCAAAATGGTGATCCAAATGAACCCAAATGGCAATTCAAATATAAAATCATTGCAATACAATCGTTACTATTATTCTCATAATAAATTTTATTGAATTTTAAATGAACTACACTTTATAATTATTTTTTTTTTATTTAGACAAGTTAAAGATGAATCATGATGGATATGCCTTGTTCAGGAGACCAGACCTAAAAAAAAAAAGCCATAATAAAAAAAAAAAACTGCAAATATTGTTATAATATTTAAGATAAAATATTCTATTTTTATATGAAAACATGATATAAATTTATAATTACAAAATAGCAAAATACGTGATATCTACGAGCATCAGAAACTGTGGAAAATGAAAACAAACGTCAATTTTAAAATTTTGTAAAGAAACGTCATGAAATGATAAAACTGCTTTTTAAAATTAAAAATTGAATTTTGATGAAATAAAAAAAAACAAGAACAATATTTTATCTTGTAAACGAACGTTATAATGGGGGGGGGGGGGGTAATAGAGCATTGAATTAAATACCGACACTAAATTCAAATAAATAAATATTCTATGAATACTGAATTGAATAGAGCAAAGATACACATCATTTATCACCAGTCTGTGTACTTTATTCTGCATGAATATTTTTTTCGTTCAGAACTTATTCTGAATATTTACACACTAAACCTGGCGCGTTTTTATACCCAAACAGGAAGGATCAACTATCAATATTACCAATTGATATAGAATCTTGAGTAGAAATAGGGAATAAATGCATTGTATACCTTCATCAAACTTGCATGGATGGTGCATGTGGACAAACTAATGAACTTTTAAAACTTGGATGCTGAATCTGGAACTTGAATTCTGGATGTTGGCTGTAAAAATTTTAAGAGCAGAGCAAAGTTTTTGGAGCAGGCGCCCTTTGATGACTATATCCACTGGCGTCGGAAGCAAATTGAAAGGGGGGGGGGCTAGACTAATCCTCAGAAATATTGATTGTAAAATAATATATATAATATTTAAGAAATAAACAGCAATTGAAAAAGTTTATCGGGACCTGGTTGGTCACGTGATCATATCCTGTGAAGCCCAAAGGGCTTCTCGGAAGACTTGATTACGTACCAACTGAGTTCATATCCCGGTGAACTTTTTATTTAACGTTGTATATAAATAGTTCCCGAGAAAACCATTGTCAACCGACGCGAAGCGGGGGTTAACAATGGTTTTTGAGGGGTGTCAACAGTTACCTTCCCAAATAGGCACTAGTTATTTTATTATACTGAATGTCTTAATTTTAAAGAAAATTTTACTGCTTTTAGATAGAAATCGCAAACCGTATGCGCATAATTTACGCACATGTAGCAATTTGTTCGGTTACCCGTTGCCAAGTGTGTTGCTAACGCTCAGGGTAATTGAACGGATGACCAACTGCGTCTTAACCAATTAGATTTCAGTATTTAACATGAAATTATAATAATGCTGTTTATAACTTATATTTACATTTGAAATAGGCAAACCCTTGAGAATTATTAAAATAATTGTGTTTTAATGTTTACAATAATGCAACTGTCAAGTGATAAGCATGTGGTAATCATTGTGAAATCATTAAAATGTTCACACAGAATTAAACGTTTCGCTATTCTATATCTATATATACATTTATGTACTCATATTTGCAAATATAAGTGTATGAGTATTACAAAATAATATATTATATGATGCAATTCCATGTCAAGACATAACATTATAATGTATTATGTGATACAATATTGTATCATATAATAAGGTACGATATTATATGATTATTTTAATGTGGTGCGATAAAATGTGATACGTATTAAAGAACAGGGGCGTACAAGGCGTTGTATATCCCCAACGTTGAGCAATGGAGACGAAAGATTTTCAATTGAAGTTTGAATATTAATTTTTGGTATGTATGCATTGTTTTTGTATAAATTCATGATGGAAGTCAATATTATGCTTTCATTGTATAAACACGACAGTTATTGATTTCCAAATTAAGCTGCACCGCGTTTTATGCCAAAATCTTGGTTCATTCACTGTTCTAAATTGCAATAATTTAGGTATGAATGGGTCCAGACTCCATTCTAAAAGTACTTTTATTTAAAGAATAAGTTTTTAATGATTTTTATTATTGATTTGTCAAAATGAAGTCTAGACCCATAATGGGCCAAATTCGTGGTTTTCAACAAAAAAAGTTTTACTTTATTAATTATTGTCAAACAGTTAAATTTATTCACCTGTACCCTAATGTGTCAACGTAGCTCACTAGGATAGGCGGAGCCTCGCACCCCATTCTTCTCGATTGAGAGGGTGTTTGAATCGTATAGACGGCGTTTTATATTTAATTCATTTGCTTTTAAGTAAAACCAAACAAAAAGAAAAACGGAATAGGTAGGGCGCTGGGGGATCATTTTCTTAGAGAAAATTC